CCAGTTGTGAGTGCTGAAACCCTAGAAGGGGTCTGGCATCTGCGGGGCCGAAACTAAGCCATGGAAGTCCATGACCCGTCATCCTTCAACCTTATACAGCCGAAGCGCAGAAGGCTTAGAGCGGCTTAGGAAGTCTGCATGAATGCGAGGAAACTGCAGTCTAGAGGATGTATGACAGTCGGAACATAACTATAGACTACCCCGTTAAATTGTGGACTTTGTGAACTTACAGAGTCGCAACAACCGCTTTCAAGAGCCACCCTAACATGTAGCATGTAGCCCAAGACAGATTTGCCGTTGTCACAACTTAAAGGTCTGCTTCTGAAAAAACGGTGTTTGTAAAGCTTGTGGTCCAGGAAAGTAGATTTAAAGTCACAAGTTCAGGCTTCGAAATCTTGGTCTTTGGGTCAAAAATTTCGGGTTCAAACAGAAGTCTGCAGTTTTGGTTTCCTGGCCGCCTTGTGAATAAACAGCGATGACCGTGGGCCGCGCCTTGCCGGATTTCCCCTTGCCCACGAGCCTCACCGTGGTGGACCACACGGTCAAAAACACTGATGCTTAGTTCTCCGATACCCAACCTTTAAAGTTTTTGGGCTCTTATACTTTAGTAGTAATCTGAAAGTTTAACCTTTTTTCCCCTGGCTTATTGGGGAAGTAAGGATGTGGCGACCTGCTCCGTGCCCTACATCCTCCCAGCTGCGCCGCAAGCCGCCTTCGACAATGTGGCCAGTTCTAATTGTGAAATTAAGGTGTGTTTGCGTGTGTCTCGCGAGTAAGCTCGCCTGACTAAACTCAGAGTCTAAACTCAACGCAGATTCCCAGAATCCTCCAAGACTTACCTCGCGCCAAGGCCAGTACACCGAGCCCCAAAATGAAACTGCCCACGGTTCTCAACCGGCGAGCCATGATTTTGAGAGCTGCCAGGTGGCACGCTTTGTGGATTCAGAGCTCGCCGCGATCATCGAGATGTTCAGGGAGGAGATGGGTCAGGCTACCAGCATCTGCGGCACGCAGCTCGTGGCAGTTCGTCGTTTTGACATTCTGAGAGTTGTGCGGAGCTGGTGAAAGAGGTTCAAATAAAGTTGTTATGGTGTGTCATACGTTCGTAAGTTGATTCTGGACCAGCAGCCAGGAAACCGCCAATGGAGCAGCATCTACACTTGAGGTACTCAGCGGCACCCGCGACGTGCCGCATTGAGGCTTCAGGGGAAGCAATGGCAAAGATGCATCTGATGCCGCTGCCGGTGCGGTTCCCGCCGGAAGACTCCCGATCGATGTGGAGCAAGTTCATGTTGCTGGCTCAGGCTCGAAGGCCTGGCAACCAGGAACGTGTTGCAAACGTGGGCTTGGTCCTTTGGTTGCATATTAAATTGTTTGTCCCTAAGAAGGTTCCGAAAATACAGACGTAAATGTTGTGCCTGAACCTACGATAACCGCTGTTTCTGTAGGGCTCCTAATATTCCATATTATAGGGTTTCTAAGAGATATCCACAAAGGAATTCAATTTACGGTAGGCTAATATAATCCTAAGAGAACGCGTCTTCTCAGGTCTTCTGCGAAACCATGACTCAGAGGGATGGCTTGGTCTTGCGTGCTCGGGTGGAGGTTCTTGAGCAGCTTCGAGCTTCGATGCTGCAGCCGGGGACTTTCACCTACTTCCGAAAGCTGCGAAACTTCAGCTTCATGGTGACCAGTCCGGCGGCCTCACTCCAGAAGCTGCGGTCTGCGCAGCCCACGCCGCTGTGTCGTGCCCTGTTTTTGGGCGATGTGCCTCAGGCTTCGCAGAACAAGGCTGAGCTCTTCGAGCGCTTGGACACGTGGGTGATAGCAAACCCAGATGCACAGAAGATGTTCCTCAAACTTGCGTCAGAACATCTCTATCATAACGTGTGTCCGGGGGTCTCCCGCTTCAGATGGCAATCACATCCAGCGTCTTAAGTCTGACCAGTGAGGTTCAATCCGCAGCAGTGCCGCGCCCTTGCGCTCGAAGCTCTCACAGAAGCAGGGCCAGTGGTGGTGCAAGGTCCTCCAGGTCGGGGAAGATCAGACAGTTGTTGCTTGCATCTTCGACTTGCCACACTGTCACACATGTATATACAAACGCAAGCATGCACCAGAACTGCATGAAGGTTTCTTCAATCTGCAGGCCCCTCATATAGAGCTCCTCCCTCCCCGTGTGTTGTTAGGGGTTTAGAGATGAAGAAAAACATTGGATGTGAGGGGACGGGATATTTATCCAGAACCTGGCTCCCGAAATCAACAAGATACAAGATCCCCGTTTCAGCTCTGTAGGCTGTGTACGGAAGGTTCCCGCCCACAGATGTGTGCATGCTGCATGCAGATTTCTTTGTCTAGAGTTTGGAATCGCAGGGCTGACTATCAGAAGTCGGTTAGAGTGGATTCATGATGATTCATGCTTAATGGTTCCCGACTGGCCTTGAACTGCAATGAGCACAGTACCTTTGTGTAGACAGCAGTCTATTCTGTACTTACATATACAGCTGGAGAAGTTTGTTTTGCCTTTACTTGTTTCAACCGACGAACTGCCAAGCAGGGCTACAGTAAGAAGCCCAAAAGTTGGCAACCCAATAGCTCAATCCTTGAGAAAGGCATAGGGAATCCCAGCACTATTTGACCTTATTCCGGTTTCCAAGAATGTGGTGTTTACTACAATAGATCCCATTATAGGAGCCCCAAAACCCTAAACCCTTAGTACCCTGGTAGAGCCCTTAAAGGGAGTCTTTACTATATCTGTTTTGAAAGGCTTACAGGGGCCTGTAAGTTTCAGGTGGACAGGTTGGTTTAGGGTTTAGGGTTTTGGGTTTAGGGTTTAGGGTTTAGGGTTTAGGGTTTAGGGTCGAGGTCTCCAGCGAAGACATCTTGAGGCTGTAGCGGGTTTCGGCTTGGGGCTGATAGGGCTTGAAGGCTTTGGGGAGTGAAGGTTTAGGGTAGGTTTTCGGTTGAAGGTTTGGGGTCTTCTGACTCAAGAACTTCACGGAAGCCGGGCTAGGATGAGGGATGTTGGGCTAGAGTTGATGGGTCCTATGTAGCCTGCAGAGTCATTCTGCACATGAGCTGAGTGTTCATGCAAACAAAGGCTGCATAGAATGGCAGCAACGCAGAGCTAACAGTTTTGCCCGCCTCATGTGTGTTGCCAACCCGACTGAAGGCACCGGCAAGTCACATTTGATCGCCTGCGGGTTGCTACCACAGATCATTAGGCGTGGTGGCCGCATCCTGGTCTTGTGCAACAGCAACGTTGCAGTGGACTCCATTGGGGAAAGGGTGTTGAGCAACCCGGCATCCGCTCCTGGAAGCCACTATGCCTCTGCCAAGTTTCGTTGCCTGCGCGTTGGCTTCGAGAAGAAAGTGTCACAGAAAGTGCTGCTGGCCAAGTGGTTCCGCAAAGAGAATGGCTTTCACGATGAGCTTAGAAGTGGCCAGAAGTCAGTTGTGTTTACAACGCTTCACAATGCTAGTGTGAAGCATGAGGAGTTTCAGGCAGAAAACTTTGATGTTCTCATCCTTGACGAAGCAGGACAGGTTGAGGACATGAAGCTGTTTATCCTGGTGCAGAAACTACCTAGCCTAAAGAAGGTGATCCTCGTCGGCGATCACAAGCAGCTGCAACCTTATGTGAGCGACGGTGTGCGCGAGCAGGGGTATGGCAGAAGCACAATGGAGCGGCTGATTTCGTGTGAGCTCACGCCAGCGCCCGGGAAAGATAGCTCTGCTCTCGGCCACCCTGTTGATTACATCATGCTGGAAGAGCAGCACCGCATGCCCCCGACAGTGCGCAACATTGTCAGCCAGCTCTTCTATGGCAGCAAGTTGCGGGACGGACCGAACATCTTGATGAAATACTGCCAGCCTGGCAAAACTGCGAAGCCTACGGTCGTTGCATTCGACCTGTCTTTTGGTGCAACGGAGTTCAATCCGTTCCAGCGTTCCTTGGAGAATAGCGATGAGGCTGCCATCACGAAGATGATTTACGACCGTCTTTTGAAGGCCCCGGGAACTGCTTACACGACACGTGACATCTGCGTGCTGTCGCCATACAACCGGCACAAGAACCGCCTGCGAACAGTGATCGCGGGTATTCCGGAGGCTGATTGGGCAAAGTGGGAGAACCTGGATACGGATGTTGCCATGGACTCCAGCATGGATTCAAAAACAGCTGCAGTTCGCAACATTGACACGGTTGACCCTTTGTAGCTGAATAGGTAACTGTCTTAACCTTTTTGAGATGTATATAATCCTATCATAATCGAAACGATCAGCCTTTTTGGGTTCGGGTACTCAGCCCTCAGGACAAGTTCCAAGGCTCGGAACGTGAAGTTGTCATCATCAACACCGTCACTGGTGGCTCCACGCGAGCAAGCGCCGGCACGGGTCAGGAAACCAGCAAGCGAGCCAACGACCCACACTTTATCAATGTGGCCATCAGCCGATGCAAGGGCATGTTGGTGCTGATTGGCAAACTTTCGCAACTTGGAACCTTGGCTGTTTGATGGCAGATTTTTGCAGGGTCAACAACCATCTTGTGAAAAGCAATGGGGCTTTTTGTTGGGGTCCTTGGTTGCACTACGGAGTGATAAGCAGTTGCTTGTAAACAGAATCGTAGGTTTATCATGGCCGAGATCAAAAATAGCTCAAAACTTGACTGTGAAGGTGGCAGCTGGCAAGTTATCATGGAGAATCTGCAGCAGCAGGTGCAGGCACGGAGCAGGGAGGCGGACATCCTCGTGATTCCTTGTGGATCGGTGGAAGATGCGAGGAACGGAGTGGAGGCAGTCCAAGCTGTAAACCGTAAAGCCTAACAGCCTTCGGACTTACAACTTAACTTGGTGCTTTAGCAGGGAGTGGGGGAAAGGAAAGACAAGGGGTACCACAACAACATTTGGGTAGTTCTCGAAATTAGGGTCCCCTTTTAGGTCCCCAATATAGTACGGCACCCTTTATATAAGGGCCCTGAAAGGGACCCTTGTTATAGTCATAGTATAATGGGAACCCTAAACCCTAAACCCTAAACCCTAAACCCTAAACCCTAATTTAGAAAACTACC